TGAAGGGGAAGAAGATCGGGCGTCTGGAGGACACACTGGACGGGCCAGGGGATGAGGTGCCAGATGTGTCTGATGATGACAATGGGGCAGAGGCGGAGGAGGAGAGGCGGAGGGCAAAGGTGGGTCGCCTGGGCTGGGGACTGTCTGAGAGCACTGAGCCCCCAGGTGCAGCTATGGGCCGTGGGGACATCCCAGTGCCGAGGGGAGAGGCAGAGACTGCAGGGACACCACCAGGCAGGGGGAGAGCCCTCTCTGCCCTGGCCATGCCAGCCACCTCTTTGCGCAGCACCCCTCTGGTGGCACCGTGCTGGCGGTCCCCTGCCTGCTCCGCTCCTGGCAGGAAGGCTGCCCGGGTGGGAATGCTGCTATGCCCACCACACCCCTGCCTGGCTGCCCCGGGCTCTATGGTCCCGGTCCAGGTGGGACCCAACAGCGCCCTGCCTTGCAGAAGGACAGGGAGAGCCTGGCACAGGCATTGTCCGACTGCGTCGTCTACTGCAAGAACGTGTCCTTCCGGGGCTTCCAGGAGGCCCGCAGCCATTCCCGGCCTTCTGAGATCTCCTCCCTTGCTGAAGCCAAGGCCAGGAAGCTCATCCGGGACGCAGGTGAGGTGGAGGGGGCAGCAGCACCAGGGGACCAGGCCAGGGTGGAGGGGGCAAACAGCTTCCTCAGGTGTAGGGCTAGAGCCTGCAGACACCAGGGTTCCCTCCCTGTCCAGGAGAGAGGGTCCAGTGGGGCTGTGCCCTGAGATTTGGCTCCAGGGGGTGAGTGGAGGTTATTGGCTCAGAAAGTGAGGAAGGACACCTGGATTCCTAGGAGGGGAGAGGGACAAGAATTGGTGGGTGGGTGGGTGGATAGATGGGTAGATGGGAGGATGGATGGTTGGATGGGTGGATGGATAAGTAGGTGAGTGAGTGGATGAAAGGATGGATGAAAGGATGGATGGTTGGATGGGCAGCACGTCTGAGTGGCTGTGCAGGCCAGGGACTGACCCCACAAATGGCCCTCACACTCCATCCCTAGGCAATGAGTTTGTCCGCCACAACGCCTGGCAGCTGACACGCATCTACCCCAGCGGAATGCGGACCGATTCCTCCAACTACAACCCCCAGGAGATGTGGAATGTGGGGTGCCAGATCGGTATGGCCGGGGGGCATCAGGGCTGTGGGCTGGGGAGATGCACTGGGTCTTGTCCCAAGTGGCACCATCACCACCTGTGTTGGTGCCAGCTACAGCCCCAGCTAGTGTCAGGTTTGGCTGCAGGCTCTTGCCCTGCCTTGGAGAGCTTGGGGGTACCCAGGCATCGGCATCTTGTCCCACTGTGTGGCCCTGCATCTCTCTGGCCATGGGGACAGGCTGGTTCTCAGCTCCGAGCAGGGCATGGTGTCTCAAAGCTGCTCTCAAGCCTCTTCCCTGCTGCCTTTTCCCCAGTGGCCCTGAACTTCCAGACAGCCGGCACGGAGATGGACCTGTGTGACGGGCTCTTCAGCCAGAATGGCCGCTGCCCCTTCATGAGGGATGAGGAGACTCTCTTCAACCCCAGCGACCCCAGCAGCCGGGAGGGCCCTGGCCCTGTCACCCTGACAATCCAGGTACGGGGCTGAGGACAGACGGCAGGGAGCTGTGACAGCGTCCTGGGGCTCTGTCAGTCCCAGCCTAGTGGAGGCACTGTTAGGCAGCGTGCTGGAGCTGAGCAGCCTCCCAGCAGAACGGTTCAGCTGCTCCTCGGCTCACAGGGTCCCTGCCCCTTCCCACAGGTGATCAGTGGGCAGCAACTGCCCAAAGTGGCCAACAGCAAGGACGGAGCTGTCATTGACCCACTGGTGCGTGTGGAGATCCACGGGGTGCCCGCAGACCAGGCGCACCAGGAGACCAAGTACATCGAGAACAACGGTGAGCCCCATGGCAGTACCAGGGACCCTGCTGCACCCAGGCGGCCCCGTCCCTCCCTCGCCCTCCCAGCACCTGCTCTCCCTTCCCAGGGTTCAACCCCCGCTGGGATGAGATGCTCCAGTTCCAGCTCCATGTACCCGAGCTGGCCCTTGTCCGCTTCGTGGTGGAGGATTATGACAAGACCTCCAGGAACGACTTCGTGGGCCAGTTCACCCTAGCCTTTGCCAACATCAAACCTGGTGAGCAGCTGCTGCCCAGTGGTGGTGGGGGGCCCGCAGGGATGTCTGGGGTTTGCTGGGTGCTAGAGTGGGGTGGGGGGCAGCTGTCAGCCAGAGCCTTGCTGTCCCCCCTGCAGGCTACCGCCATATCCATCTCCTCTCCAAGGATGGCATCAGTATCCCACCCTCTTCACTCTTTGTCCACATCCGCATCACTGAGCCGCCAGGGCCTGAGCAGGACTGAGCCCATGGGGCAAGCAAAACCTGGATGGAAGCCATAGAGCCAGCCCCGAGCAGCTGGGGCTGCAGAGCCAACCGCCCTGCCCTTTTGTTGAGCCATTTGTGTCATCCCTGTGTTGTTGTTGCTGCTGTGCCCCCTTCATAGTGGCCTCTGAGGGCTGGGAAAAGGCACTGAACACCCTTTCCCAGGTTTGGGATGCTGCCTCCCACATATGAGCACGGGGGCTCTGCTGGTGCAGCCCCCTGTGCATCCTGCCCCAACCCATGGGCAGGGCTTGGCCCCAGGGAAGAGGCGAGATGGTGCATGGTGCCTTGGCTGTGCCGCAGGGGCTGGTCCCCTATGGCCAGGGGAGCAAGGCTGGAGCTGAGCAAAGCCCAGGGCTGGGCAGAGTGGGGAGAGGAGTCAGTCCTCACTGCCCCCCGACCCTGCAGAGTCTCTGCAGCCCCCAGGGCTGCTTCTGGCTGGTGCCCGTTCCTAAACCTTGCCCTATCCTTTCTCTATAACTAACCTAATAAAATTTTTTGGTGACAGGCAGGCTTGCGTCTGGATGCAGGGGTGCTGGACGAGAGAGGGAGCTAGGCTTGTGCTTGTGCCCTTTGGCTTGTGATCTTTCCCTGCGGGCCCCCAGCCCACTGTTCACAGAGGGCTCCAAACAGCCCCAAGAAATGGTATTGAAAGGAGGCAAGAGATTCCTTTTGTACAGCTGCATATTTTGCAACCCATATACATATATGCCTATACACACACATACATCTCTGCAGCAGGCCTGCACCACTGGGGCTTTAAAACTGTCAGGATGCGGCCTCACTGCGAAGCACCATCCTTCTCCACAGGGCACCCTCCTTCCTGCTCTGTCCCCGGGCGTCCCTCAGCCCGACTCTCCCTCTGCACGGCGTGGAGGTGGACAGTGGGCGTGCTGGGGTCCTTGCCCACCCCCTGGCTGGGGTCACCAGCCCCGTGCTCAGGATGATGCCGCTGGATGTGTTTGATGACCTGGAACTTCTGCTTGGCCTTGTAGGGGCAGTAGCGGCAGAAGAAGGGGTGCTCGTTGGTGTGGGTCAGGTAATGGTGGCGCAGGCCAGCTGCCCAGCGGAAAGCCCGCCCGCAGGCATTGCAGACATAGGGTTTCTCCTCGCTGTGCTTCTTCAGGTGGGTCTTGAGGAGGAAGCGCGTCTTGAAGGCCTTGCCGCACTGCTCGCAGATGAAGGAGCGGGCCTCCCGGTGCCGCGTCTCCTTGTGCACCCGCAGGGCATCTGCCCGGTTGGTGCGGTACTCGCACTCGTCGCAGCGGTATGGCTTCAGGCCTGTGGCGACAGGGAAAGGGATGGCACCAGGACGGGGGGATGGTGCCCTCCATCCCGCAGGTCTCACCATTCCTATAACAGCACATTGTTCCCCAGGGACTCCCCCATATACCCCATCATGTCAGCAGGCACCCCAAGACCCCATTTTCCAAGGCACCAAACGGCACCTGGGGTCCGTATCACCCCACCTTCCCCCACACCCTGTAGCTGTGTCCCTAGCCCACCAGCACACGAGAACATGCTGCCCCCCTAACTGCTGCGGGTCCTCCCCTGCCTTCAGCTGGGCCATTGGTAGCAAAGAAAGCACAGAGTTGGGGTCTGTGCAGCCCCAACACCCTTGCCGGTGCCCCACAGCTTGTCCCCAGTGGGCAGCACTCACCCGTGTGCTTTGTGAGCTGGTTCACCCACTTGCACTTGTAGCCGCAGTCGGGGCAGAGGTATTTCCGCTCCTCCTTGTGGATCCGCATGTGGTACTGGGCACAGGGCAAGAGGGAAGGGTCACAATGAGGCCACAGCCCCTGCCCTGGGAATGTGCAGGGCTCTGGGGTGCCAGCGAGGGGCTCAAAGACAGCTCTGACATCTCCGACTGTGCGGGGCAAGGAGGGCTGTTTGCTTGCCTGGCAGACTATGGGCAGGGGGATCCACAGAGAGGTCAGGATGAGACACCTGTATTGCTGAGCTTGCTCTGTCCCAGCCTGTGGATGGCACAGGCTTTTCTCCCCAGTTTGGTATTTAGGGTAAAGTCTAGGTTAAAATCCAGCCCAGCAGAGTTAGCCCCAAGCTGAGTACATTGTGCAGCCTTGCCCAGGCAGCCCCAAAGGGCTCCAGCTCAGCCTGGCCATTAAAGAAAGTCAGTATTTCTTTTAGCAGAACTGGACCATTTTCCCCTCCATTAACCCACTGTTCTAGGAAAGATTCTTTACCATGCATGAGGATACTAATCACCTATAGAAATGAGGGCAAGGTCTGGCTCTGCTTGCAGGGAAGCTGAGCTTTCCTTGCCCTGCATCTAACTGCTGCCACAGAGCATGCTGCAAGGCAGCAGGCAGCCAGACTTGGCTTCGAGTGGTGCAAGGCTGCATCCAGAGGATTCAGGAAGAGGAGTGAACTTGGACAACTGCGCACCTTCTTACTTTGCTACAAATGCCCCTTCCCCTTAATCTGCAAGAGCAGGGAAGAAACATATTGTACCCACATGAGTTGTACCTGTTTGCTTCTTATTCTTGTAACAAGCCACAGATGAGAAAGGACAAAACCTCCCCTTGGGAGTTTATTCTTCTTCCCTGAATCCCTGTGTCTGGATCCCCCCCCAGCCCATGTAGATGCAGTAGGGTATCTCCCCAAGCAGAGCTCTCACCTTGAGACGCGAGGGGTCGGCACAGGCGTATTTACAGAGGTGGCACTTGTAGGGCTTCTCACCCGTGTGGATGCGGATGTGCCACGTGATCTTCTGCCTGTTCTTGGTGCTGTACTCACAGTCCGAGCACTTGTACACACGGGTGCCCCCATGGCCCTTCATGTGCTGGTCGAAGACGAGCTGGTGACGACAGGCAAAGTCGCAGAAGGGGCACCGCAGGGGTTTGTCCTGGGGGGTGGCCGGCTCGTGGTTCTCCACATAATGCCGCACCAGCTGCTGCCGCTCCTTGGCTGCAAAGCTGCACAGCTCACAGCGGTGGCTGAAATGCTGTGTCTTGTGCTCCTCCAGAGCCTCCCGGGTGGCGAAGGTCTCCTTGCAGGTGCTGCACTCCAGGTGCGGATGCTGCTTCTGCACGTGGCACTTGAGCGTGGCCTCACTGTGGCACACGAAGCCGCAGCGTGGGCAACCATAGGACACCTTCTCCTCGTGCCGCCGTAGGACGTGCTGCTTGAGGGCTGTCTCAGAGCTGAAGCGAGCCTCGCAGCAGGAGCAGCCGAAGTTGAGCTCGCCGCGGTGGCAGCTGTTGACGTGGCGGGTGATGTCGTTCTGCAGATAGCTGCTGTAGTCGCAGAGCGGGCAGAAGTGGGTGGGCGTCTTCTCGTGCACCCGCAGGTGGTGGATGCGCAGCTTGGAGTTGGTGCCAAAGGTCTGGCTGCAGATGCCGCAGGCGATGCGCCCCACGCCGGTGTGCAGGGACTGGTGGGCCTCCAGGCGGTAGCGCCGTGTGGTGCTGAACTCGCAGTAGCGGCACTTGTGCGGCTTCACCCCCTCGTGCTTGATGCGGATGTGCTGCCGCAAGCAGCGGGCCTGCTTGCAGGTGAACTCGCACTGGCGGCACTGCAGCTGTGGCTGCTTGCTGTAGTGCTTGCGGTGCAGCTTGCGGTGCAGCCGCAGGGCTTTGGCTGCCTTGGAGGTGAAGGGGCAGGAGGTGCAGCGAAACTCGCCCAGTGCCACGCAGCCCCTCTTCTTGTGAGTCTTCATGGCCCGTTCCTGGTGGCAGGGGAAGGGGCAGGGGGGGGAGGGGT